GATCCCTCAACAGCCTAAAACAATTACGCTTGTGTAGAACAGCACATCTCTTCCCTTAACCCACTCAGGAAAGCCATACAGATCCAATTACAAAGAAATGTGGAGACAGTAAAAGAACTACCTTCTGGCATGCCTTGAAAGATAACACAGAATGCTAGACTTTTCAACAAAAAAATAAAGGAGAATGTTTTAATCTGCATGTTTTAAAAATGCAAATGTCTTCAAATCAGCTGGCTAGTGCACAGTGTGCAGACAGTATGCCTCAGACAACCAGTACTCAACAGGATGAAAAATGAGACAATCGAAGCAATTGTTGAAAAGGGAGTTGAGAAAGTAATTTTTGAGCTTTGCCAAGGGCAAGATTCAGCGAAAGCTGCCCTGACTGTGCTGGGAGGGTCTGTCTTGTATTATGATTTGAGAATTTGACCAGCCTGTGTTACGAGGCCAAGGAACTTCCTCTTGCCTCGCTTCTATCTTTGTGCATGCAAGCAGCACTTCTCAACTTCAGCTGCCTCTGCTAGAATATGCTCATTTTCATTACATGTTCTTTTTTGTCCAAGCTAGCCTACAAACTTGTTTCAAACTCATTTTAGAAAGGAAAAATTCTTCTTGTGCAATAGGAAGCAGTCTTTGGATATGCACAGTCACATTGCATGCCAAATCCAAGTGGAAGCAGATGGAGGAAAATTAATCCTCATGATCAGATCCACAATGTTCTCTAACATTTAACCTTTATGATATAAATAGGACAACATGTTTTAAGCTTTATTTGTCCTTTAACTGTTGAGCCTGATCCAGACGAGATGTACTCTGCATCATTCACAAGCACAAGGAACTGTATTTTGAATAAAACACTACTAATTGCTTTTTACCCTGGAGCTGCCTTTCTGCTCCACCAGAGAAGAAACTGATCCATCTTCCCCATAGGTTCTCTCTTAGCAGAGCCAGACAGGGCATGCTGGAAAGTAAGGTATTGAAAAGAAATCCATCCACATGAGTATGCTTAAGGTGGAATTCATGTTTATTTGTAATAAACATCTCTCTCTGTAGCACTGAACACGTTATATTGGCTTGTAAAATACATGTACCTTTAACTCTCCGCATTTTTCTCTTGAATGTAAGAAAAATACTCACTAAACAAGAGTTTAAATCTGAACTTTACAGGCTGCCTAGACTGGTGAATTATTTGTCCTTCATGCTAAATTGCTCTCTTCAGTGTTATTTCTGAATTGCCTCCTTTACTCTATAAAGAATCAAGTCTCTAGCTACTTTTAGAAAGGTATCTAAATAGCTCAAGGAACTGATAACACGGACCCTTCTGACATCTCATCTTCCCTCAGATTGAACTTGGCACTAAGACAACAGCAGTCGGCATCTGCAGCTGGAGGTATGCTGGCCAGAACTTCAGATGTTACAGCCCTGAGAAGAATAATAGTTTACAGTTCAGCTCATTCAGAAAAATCATCCAAGGACAGTTTGCATTCGGGTCATACCAGAGGATCTCTGGAACACAGTAAATAACCTAAAATTTTGATCATCAATGAGAATATCACAGATAGTTTTAATACAGAACTACATTGCAGACTAATTGCAGAATTTCCATTATTAGCATTTCTGTATGCTAAATTAAAATACTCAATCCTCAAAGCAGCTGTGAAATCACACACACACGACACTTAAATATATGTTTATTGTATGTAATTACTTGTGGAAAAGAGCAGTTTTCCCTTGAAATTATCCATAACCCAGAAAGGTCAAGACATGAGCTGATGCGGAAACCTAGAACGTGAGTCACTAGTACAGTGGAAGGAAAACTATATGCCTAATATTTTTCCCCCTCTGACTGTCTAAATCCACATTGTTTGTGAAAACATAAAAGCAATTTCTGCAAAAGCTGGTTGCTACTCTTTAAAGTTTTTCCTTCCTGGTACTTGGTTATATTAACAATTCCACCCCCAGATCTTTGATCTCACTAGTTGGTTGTATTTTTTTGCAAGTGCTAGGAGGATTTTAAAATCAAGTTTTATAAAATAAAAGTCCACAGTCAGATTTATAAGTCTTATAAAATATAGTCTGCATTCAGAATTAGTATTTCTGTAACAAAAATAAAGGGGAAGCAGACTTGGGAGAAAACCTAATAAAAAAAGGAAACCAGCTTTACAGGTGGAAATTACAGGTACAACACGTTACAGGCATAACATACTGTTTCATTTTCTTCCAGTAACTTTAATTTCCTTCATTGTTTACAAAGTGGAAATTGTAATCAGGTTCTTAACTTTAAGAAGAAAAGCCAGGATTACAGAGTCTTCCTTGTCCTACCATTAATATAACCACTTAAATGTGGTTATAAAAGCCATGTTTAATAGGACAGTTTAAGCCATAATAATTCTCAAGCCTTCCCACTCTGAAGTCATGCTGTGAAGTTTTTCACCCATTTCTTCAACTTTTAATAATGACAGAGGAAAACTCCCAGTTTAAGGACTAATATTGCCAAACACAAAGCAGATGCTGCTTCACATTATCACAAGGTATTAGAGCCTGACACTTGGTATTACGCCATGTAACAGGATTCTGGAATTTATAAGGGTAAGATGAAAACTGTTATCAAACAGAAAACCAAAGAACTCGGATCTCTGCCACTGAAATTTACATGTTAACATCTGCAGAAATAGAATTAGAATTTAAAAGCTCTCCAGTCAGCTTCTCCTAACCTTTTCATTAAAAAGGCTGGGCAGCATTTAAGACCTTTATATTAATTTAACCAAAACTGTACAAAGCAATCAATTTTCACATTTCCAAAATACTTATTACAAAGTGATCAAGAAATAAACTATTTCTCCTTTTAAAGCCATGTGACAGGCAACCCCCTTTACAAATAAGAAGCTTCAGTAGCTGTATCAATTTTTTTTTCAACAATTTTTGTTCTATATTGACACCTGCTGACCATTTCTTTTGAGTAGACAGTTTTACTGAATGTATCATGACTTTATGCATATATCAGTTGGCCAAATGAACCCAGAATTCCAGCCAGTACCAAATCTTTTCTCTTGCAATAAAGAATTTACAGAATAGCTGTATATATTTTATATATACATACAATTTTTATATATATGTGTGTGTATATATATTTGTGACTGTGTATGTATACATACACACATACGTAAAATTGCTGGAAGTATTGGACTGCTTATGTCTGTTGAAAGTAGTTTTCACCAACTTCTTTGGTGCAAAAAAAGGTCTCTGCTGTTTCTGGCACTTACTAGACAACACGCGGAAGGTAAGCAAGTGTCTACAGAGTTGTAAACAAGTATGAAAAAAAGTCTTGTGTATTGGAATGATTTTCACCATGACTACTGTCCAAGAAAAGAGGCCATAGGATCATCAGGTCTCTGACGTTTCATTCTATAGGCTTCCATTTCCTCTTCTGTTGGCTCTCTGGTTTCACATAGGCTGTTGTATGGTCTCTTCCTCTCATCTAACTGCATGATTTCTTTAACATGGAGAAGACGAGCCTCTTCTGCATTTAGTGCCTGAAATGAAAGCACAGAAAAAAATACCCACAATGAAAGTTAAGCAAAAAAACCCAATGAAACTTTGTATTAGGTTCTAGTATAATGAACAAGCAGCAGGCAGAATGGTGGCATAAGCAATGCACATCTGTCTGGCCCACCTACAGCATACTTAATTTAATGCTCATTTTTTAGTTTTTAACATAAAATGATGGTAAAATGGTAAGTTAGCAAACAAGATACTTTAACCTCTTTCCAATTGCCCAAATCAAGTAAGAAACTCCTTGGCTTTACCTAAAATGTAATCACGATCCAGCAAGCACAAAAGCAGATAAGCAAGCATGTGATTTTAGGGGTTTGGGTTGGTTTGTTGTGGGTTTTTTTTCCAATCAGGGTGTGTTTGTTTTTTTTTTTTTAAATGCTTTTGGAAGTACGTGTTATCCCATTCCTCAAACTACTATTGTTGCTCCTTCTTGCTACTGAAAAGAAGTTGCATTTGTACAATGCTTTGATTGACCATAGTTTAACATTAGTTTTACACTCTGAATATCCAGACGCAGGCTGCTGTGCTTGTGGAAGGGCTGTTCAGCAGTCAGTAGATAGCTTGGTGGATGGATTTATTGTATCAACTGTGAGACTGGCCCCAAGTCTGGGATAAAAAGTGCTAAGTTAAGCTTTGACAGTGCCTTTGATCTCTCGCATCTTTCTTCAATACCCAAATCATTGTGTTCTGCAATGTCTTTTATAGATCTACAGCTGTAATAGGTGCCTAGAAAGGAAGTATTCTAAATCTTCTAAACTAAGTCTTCCAAAACTAAATACTTATTGCACGTTTGCCTGAGAAATAGGGAACGTACTTTAGAACATTTAACAGCATTTAAAATTTGCTTTAGCTCAAAATTAGCGTCAAAGAACATCCCACAGAATACCACAAGAACTGTATTACAGGCTTCATAAAACTGACATTGTTGTAAAATACATTTCAAGATCTTTTTGCTACAGAACCACTGAAGAATATAGTGCACCTTTTTAAGTTTTTCTTGCTTCTTTTTCTCTTCACCCTCACTATCTGAATTTGAGCTCTTCTTGTGCTTCTTCTTTTTCTTCTCTTTCTGTTTCTCTTGGTGGATCTGTAAGGTGGAAAGCCAGCTACTGTTAAGATTCAACTTGCAAATATTAGTAATATTCAAGCCATTAAATCTCAAGCATCTATTAATGCTATTTGAAAGCTTAGTTTTCAATAGAGAGTCTAATAATGCAGTCTAATAATTTTCAGACTCATTATGACTTACATCATTTTGTAGTTATACATATCCTTCCATCTCTTAAAATGCTGAGGAAAAATATCTGCCTTCCTGAAAGGGAAACAACCTACCTCCATCAGTGTTTTGGGTTTTGTCATGTGTTCTTCCTCCCTGGGCTGCTCTTCCAGTAAGCTTGCTTCAGTATTCTATACAATAGACAAGAGGAAGGATACCCATTTACCAAGCACAATTGAAAGGGGAAGGACAAAAAAAACCCACAACAACATAACCCAACCCCCCCAAAAAAGCAAAACAGTCTAAAACTTAGGTAGGAAGACGAATGCTTTTTAGGTCTTTCCAAGTGACTAAATAAGACAATACTTACAGTAATTTCTTTCCCAGCTTCTCCTGTACAGTATGAGTACTTGACAAATGAGTGGCAGCATTTGTAACCCCACTTGCCTTCTTTCCAATATGAACCCCAAATGCACTGCAAGAGAAAGAAGACACCATAGCAGTTATGTCCACAATGATACTCCCGTAAGAGGCAGGCTGCAATTTATTTTTGAGGTTATATCCTGATAAATAAATTATTCAAACAATCCAGAAGGGAAAGTTATAAGAAATACTTTTGCATTTTTACATTAGCCTTACAGTTTCAAGAAAGAGAAAAGCAACAGTATGTGGTCAACTCATATTCAAAGTTGAAGGGAAATACAGTAACTTCCCCTTCAGTTTGAGATTGCCGTCGCAACTCCTCATATTCACATTGCAACCATGACAACTTGAAATTCATCCTTAGTAGAAAAGAGAGAGTGTCACATTTGAGATAGGAGAAATTTATTTGCTGTATTAATTACATTGTACTGTATCCTACCATACCTCATTCCCTTCCAATAGGAAGGAATCTGATTTTTTAATAATTTTTACATAAGCTAGGACTTACTGTATGGTTGTTGATCTTTACATCCTCTTCGTATTTAGAGCAAGCAATAGCTTTCTCTTGTCCTTTGATGACTGTTCCATGTCTGGAGTACTCCACGTAATCTTCTGTTTGAGCTAACAGCAGTTCAGCTGGTGGGGCATCTAGATGTTCCTGTCCTCCATACTAAAATGCATATAGAAATGACATACAATAGCTTTGCAAAAACCTCTACCTTTTATGTAGTTAAGCGTACATTTCAAAATCTTAATGTTCACTACCTTCTGAAGACACAAAAGAAGTGGATGGAGACAGTTTAATCTTTAGTGAATAGTTAATATTAATAGAGAAATGCATCTCCTCCTATGGCCACTGTGGTGTTTTCTGGTGGTGTGGTTTTTTGTTTGATTGTTGTTTTGGGTTTTTTGGGTTTGTTTTGGTGGTGGTGTGGTTTTTGGTTTTGGTGTTGTTTTTTTTTTTTTGCCTGGAGGGTTACAACAGTGATATTCCTCACTCAAAGCAGGAAAACTTTTCAGACCAAACCAAAAGGCTCTGGTGTAACCTCTTCCCCTCCAAACTTGAACATTGACAAAGTTAGAATCCAAATGGATTTAGTTCTTTATTAGTTGTCCAAGAAACCAGTAGCAAAATATAAAATAAATACTTATCTAGAAGACTGCACTCAAAACAAGTCTGAAAATTCTGCTTTTCACATTTAAGAGAAAAGAAAAATTTAAAAATAATTTTGGGAGACAGTTACTTGGTTATTTTACAAAAGATACCACTTTTAAATAGCAAAAGAATTTTTTCCAACCACTTGTATTATTAAAAAAAAAAAAAAAAAAAATCTAAATTCCAACTCCTCCTACATACTGCTGTCAGGTTTTTCACTGGAGAAATTCTGATAGTTAAGGGAAGAAATACCAGCAGATCTTCAAAGGTTCCTATATTAAATAACATAATGAATCCAATTGATGAGATAGTATGTATAGATACAAAAATCTTTTTATAGATCTAAGCTGCTGAGAACAGCTGATGCATTTTCACATAGCATTAGTAATCTTATTTGTCCCCCAAGACCCAGACTTCAAACTCAACAGAATTCTTATTAAATAAAACCAAATGTCTATTACCTTCTCTAAGATGCTTTCTTTCTGCTGTGCCTTGAAATCTTCTTTTTTCACTTTGAAGGATTTATACAGTAGCTCTAATTTTGTAGGATCTGCTTGAAGATGAACTTCAGAGCCTTTGTCATAAGCCTCCCAAGCAAACACTGTGTACACAAGAGGTTTCACTCAGTATTTATTCTAAAACTGACATGCAATAAAATTAGAAAGAAAATAAAAAAAGAAAATAAAAGAAAGCCTCCATCTAAAAAGATCTATTTCTCTTTTGCAAGAAAGAAGCATTGTTAACTTAAGTCTTTTAAGTCCATTTCCTTAAAACAAAACAAAACAAAACAAAACAAAACCCGAACTGACTGAGTCTGTGCCATTGAAATGGTATCTCCAGTGTAGCGAACAAAGTTGTCACCTGCGTAACCAACTCTGCAGAAAAGAACAATATGATTCTTAGCATTCAAGTAAAGTGATTTCCTTTTAAACACAATCATAGAACACCAAAGGAAAGTAAAAATTCTCCTTTGTGCCCTGAGAGTTAAGAATGGAGGGAAAGGAAGGAGCATTCAACTCAATACATGAAATGAAAGTCTAGGCTCCCCATGGAGTCATGAAAGTATTAGACAGCAACTCAGCATACTTGATGCCTGTGTTTATATGGAACCATCTTATGACGTAGACCTGGAGCTTTGTCTGGGATATCAAACGCCATGAGTCAAGCTTGGATCTAACTGCACAATAAATATGCATGAATGGTAGGTGGTATTTCAGCATAGTGATTCTCAGCTTTTGGATTTGTGAATCTCTCCTCCCGCCCAGACCCAGTGTATTTCACTGGGTTAAAGCCTGGTAATAGCTTTACTGCTCTCAGTTACCTTTTGCGCACCCCTTGAAAAGATTCGCAATGAGTATATGAAACACAGGTTGAAAATCAAATAATGTTAACAATCCAATTTCCCACACTCTTCCTCTCCCACTCTGAAAAATTTACAGTCTGCAATACTGTGGCAGAAACACAGATTCAACAAAGGTCAAACTATGACTCTGGAGAGAAGTGAAAGCATCTGCATCTAAAAAAAAAAGAACTGACTGGCATTATTCTAGCTGAGGGCAAGGAGAGGTAGAAAGAGCATTATTTGCTAGCATTTAGCCACTGCAATTCTATTTCAGGCAGTGAGCTAACCCAATTTCTGTACTCTAAATAAATGTTTCTACTCACAGCCCGTCTACTCTGTATGTCCACAGCACTACACAGGTCACGGCAGGGTGACAGCTCAAGTGCTTGACTCGGGTTTTAAGTGAGACAGCCTTACGTGCAGCCAAAAGCCAGCCTATGGCATTCTTTAATTAAGTTGTCTAGACAATGCCACAGTTTTCAGACCTTTTCTATGCAGACTCCATTAATATACGAGGAGCTTTTGCTCCTAATTCAGGCATTTAGTTAGCTACCACATTTACTGCATGCTAGTTCTCCAGTACTGAATGCCTCCCAACAAACAAGGGATGAAATTTAAGATTTGGTTACTGAAATATTTTACATAAACATCATTATTGTTTACAGGTATCACCTCTAGATACAGCAGAGCGTTCTAATTCTTGTACAGATCATTACACTAAACGGTGGTCCACATATCCCTGAAGATTAAGGGCCAGTATTACTAAAATACCACTTTTATATACGAAAACAGAAAGTGCTGCCAAAACAATTTTTTTCCATGTTTACTATTTCTATCCATAACCGACTAGAGATTCATTAGTAAAAGGACATAGAAATAAAAGAAAATACGAAACTATTAATCTCATTTTTAACACAGTTTTGTTGGATACACAAGCATGACCTTGTTTTAACTTACTCATCTGGATTCTTGCCTGTATTGGCATATGGGTTCTCCCTCATTGCTCTTGTTTTTGGATCATAATAAGCAGAGTTTGGATCTAGATTCCTCAAGTACTAGGAAAAAAAGGTATTAGATATTTATGATTTTAAAAGAACTGAAGTTACTGCTGTATCCCCCAGCTTAGACATTTTGAAAAGATCTATCTGTGTAAAAGGATGACCTTGACGAACTCATAACAGGAGCAGGAATAGAACTGAGTACAAACCTTAACCTCCAAACCCCAAGACCCATACGCAAACTCCTTAATAATTGAGCGTACAATTTTTTGAAATTAACTTTCATGAATACAAAAGAACATCTGTAAAGAATTCTTTACTCACTTTTGCAATATCTTCCCGAATACGTAAATTTCGAACTGTGATACGTCTTTTAGAGTCAAAGTTCTGCCCAGGCATATCAATGTCATCTGCATATTTATCTTCATCTTCATCTTCACTGTTATGATCTCTTTCCTGAGGAGAGATGGGAAACTTCTAAATAAAAGAGGACATTCGCTCTAAAGACAAGTATGAGAATCTGATTTTAGTGGTTTCATTAAAAATTCTGCAATCCCTGTAGTTAAAAGTTAGATCATTTACTTGGGCTTAAGTGTGCTGTCATGCTAGTAACATGCTAATCTAACATTCAACAGTTTTCAGAAATACTCGTTAAAGGATTTCCACTTCCTCATATGGAAACAGTTACAAAAATGTAACTGTGATGATATTAAGAAAACAGTTACCTTGGGCAAAATATACCACATATTAAAAACTAGTTATTTGCTTGCATCTCTAAGGCTTGACAACACACAGGAGTTAAAACCAAAATCCCCTCTATGAAATCCAACAACCTCCGCCCAAAAGAACAGGCAGCCAGTGGCATGAACCCAACATTGAAACCCTTACGCCACCCTTGTTTCACTGTTCCACTAACTACAGGTCCTTTTTTCTGGCCATGGTGTGATGCAGTGGGTAATCATCTTACTGTCTGTGAATTTGGTTCCTCTTCTCCCCACTGGTGTCTTGGGGAGTTCTGCAGCAAACAAAGAACACATCAGCAGACAAGACAAGATAGTGGAGAGAGGAAAGATGGCAGGGAGATAAAAAGCAATCAAAGCAGAGCTTTGATGCTGGATGCAAAATACAATTTACCTGTGGCACAAAACGCGAAGAGAGTACTATAGTTTGAATGTTCTAAGAAAGAGCTTGTAAGTGTCTCTATTACAGACGCACGTTGGAGACCTTTTCACTGTATTCCCAACTACATTTCCAAGCCTTTGCAAGAACGGCAAATTCTGGAACTGTCACTGTTATTTAGAGCTTGTATGCCTTTGAACACTAATGGTTTAGACTAGAATATTTCATATCATGCAAATATAACCAAGATTCAACTCTGAAAGCTTAAAAAATTATTAAGAAGATATGCATATTCAAGTATTTAGTTAGGATTGACAGAAATACTGAGCATGAATCAGAAGCCATCGTTTAATCTGGAAAAACATAGCCAGAATTTATTTTTTTAACCTGCTTAGCCTCTAACTTGAGAATACTTGCAGTGGTAAAGATGGAAATAACTGTGAGTCCTGGAAGACTGACGAGCAAATTGGCCAGCACTGACTATGCAAATCGGCACCAGTCTTGGTCCTCTCCATCAGAGATAGTTCTTTTGTTTCAAACATACTTTTCTTCTTTCAGCTCCCTTTTGTAAGGACTAAGTATATGAAGCCAACAATGTTGCCTTGTGGTGAAAACAGGCATCAAAAAGAGAAAGAATCTTTTCTATCGGGAAGGTCAGAATGCTGTAGTTTGCGCTGGGTTGGAGATTAAGTTCACTCTGCCATCTAGTGACAAAATGCAATGTGACAACCTCTGGAAAATGGAGGCTCAATTGTATGTAGTCTTTTGCTTGGTGTTTTCTTTCTTAGCATATTGATTAAACAAACCTACTTCTGAAGCAGGAGCAGTCTCTACTTTTTCCCCATTTTATAAACTTAGAATATTATCAGAAATGCCTTTTAAAATTAGAATTTTATAAGAGGAGCTTGTAGAAGTTAGTGAAGATGCAAACTTGGCAGAGTTACAAGCCAGAGGGAAATACATATGCTCTGCCTTCAAATAACGAGACACACTGCAAATAGTCATAGCAATGACTTTGTTTCCAAGATAAAGAAAATACCTTCCTATTCCAATTTATACTAAGCATTACTAAAACAATCCACAGTCATGTAATACTCATTACCTCAACATTAGTTGGATGTAACAATCTTTAAATACAAAAAAGCATTTCAGTACATAAACAAAACTACTACATGGAAATCAAGTTTTTCTGACTGAAAAATCCATGTCATTAATTATAATAATCACACAGAATTTTTGCTTATAAGGGGAAAACAAAGCCACTCTCACTTGAAAGAATATGCTTCAAATTCTTGAATGTGACAGAGAATATGCTGGTGCTCAGAAAATCTTTAAATTACTGAAGGGCATAAAAAACAATAGCAGACCCTGTATAGAGAATAAAAGCATCAGAGAGAGCAGAAGTAATCTGTTGGAATTTTTATTCAGCTACATAAAAATAAATTAGGGTTTAGTTTACTTACCACTTGCTCCAGCTTTCCTGATGCTAACTCCTCCTGAAGCTTCTGGGCTTTCAGTGTACGTTTGGCCTGTGTATCATGAAAATTTATTTGTTTTAATATTTCTTTTTAATAGCAAGAGTGTAGTAATACTTACCATAAGCATCTCCTGTGACTGCTGTCATTTAAAATGTATTCTTATTAAAAAAAAAATGAGGTTTTAATTCTCTGGGTGCTTGTAAAAAATCAGCAGCCTAGAGCGTCTCTCCTTCGCTCCTATCCTTTACCATATTGTTTTTTGAGCTTCAAGGAAAGGAAGCTATATATACACTAACCATTTTACTATTCTATATTATCCTGTTAAATAAAAGAGTTTACTAGAGCTTATGAAGTTATGCCATTACTACATGCATGCTAATTTAAGAGATAGCTTTTTTTACTTCGATAGTGTTTAAGAACAAACCTGTTTTATTATTGTGTCCTCATAATCTAGTTAGGAACTTCAGTGCTTAAGGTACTTCATGACTGATGCTGCAAGCATTTACGTTTCATCCAAGAAGCACCAAAGTCTAGCATCTGAGGTGAGATTCTAAGGCAGCACATAGTGAATTTTTGGATGTGTCTGACATCATAGAACCACAGAACAGTTGATGTTGGAAGTACCTCTGGAGACCACCGAGGACAATCCACTTGCTCAAAGCAGGCTTGCCTACAACAGGTTGCCCAGGACCGTGCCTATGCAGGTTTTGATTACTCCAAGAATGGAGACTCCCCAGCCTTACTGGGCAAGCTGTTCCACTATTTGATCACCCTTACAGTAGAACACTTTTTTCTTATGTTTGAACAGAATTTCTTGTATTTCAATTTGTGCCCACTGCTTCTTGTCCTTTCACTAGATACTACTGAGAAGAGTCTGGCTCTGCCTTTAAACACTCCCATTAGACATTTAGCATTAGCTTTCCTATGCACTATAGGAAAATACTGAGGACCAGGCACCGAAGGGAGTTAGTTAGGCACCCAACTACCTTTTGGAACTGGCCTAACATCCAGCCAAGGTAGTGAACTATTTTTTTTTTTTCTTCTAAAAAGTTAATAGTGTCCACATGGATTTGGTGCACACAGACAGACAGTTAACTGCAACAGCAAGCTGCCGATGTGCACAGAGACATGTACAAATAGTCCACTGCTCCATCATGGTAACAAAAAGGATTCATAAGTAAAATAACATGAATGAGGTTACAAAATAGATATAGATTTATTGGCTCTAATACAGCCAAATAATAAATTCCTTTCTTGCCTGCAATTCAATCTGCATCTTGGGTAATAAATTCTAAGGCTTGTCTATTAAAAAGTAAGCAATCTGGACAGACACTTCATTTATTGTGCAGATCCATACTCAGTTGCCAGTTCTGATCTGAATTTTCAGTTTAAGCGTAGTTTGCTATCAAACACAGAATCCACCTCACTTTTCCATTATGAATACAGCACAAGGTCTAATATTAACAGTGCACATAACAAATGTTCCTCCTCCCAGCCAAGCCAAACACTGAAGCTTTCCCCAGTAAACCACAGCACCTACATACCAAGTCAACCTTGGAATATTCCTCTACAATTTTCATGTGCTCCTCGGGGTTATAACCATTCCAACGATCTCGCTTTCCATCATAATCAAACATCAGTTGAGGCTGCACATGTTCATCTGGTGCAATATTCATGCCTGTGTATTTTGCTCCAACTTTCCTGGGTCTCTGAAAGGAAAAAAAATGGTTGGATCAGTCCATTAGACTAAAATATGTTACTCACTCAGATATCTCTTTAAAAACAGTATCAATCGAGCTCTTCTAAAAGAGTCAGTTAAATTCAGCACTATAAGCCTGTGAATTGTAAATAAATGCAAGTAGTTCATTTCTGTATTTTAAAGTAGCACAACTGACTCCAAACCCCATCAATTTCTAACTCTACTTTCCACAATTAAGAAAGCAATTAAAACACAGTTTCTGGGGATGCTTCTAGCCGACATGAAACAGAAAGACAGGCACAGCAGCACTTGAGTTAATGCAAATTAACATGAAGAGCTAAATGTTTTCAGATACTATTGCAGCACTTATCACAAACAGAATTGATGAGCAAAACCCTGAATAGTAGCATTTTTTCCCTTAATTTTTCCTACAGAACAATTTCTTTAGAAATTTTCAAGCCACCTTTCTATACTCGTAACGTTTCTCAAAACTAGTAATTTTTATTTTAACTATAGCTAGCTATTTTTCACTAAGATTAGAATTCACATCGTTTTCAAAACCATTAAAACATCAACAAAAGTCAAGTTTACCTCCATGCAGTCTTTCTTTTTGTGTGTCAATGCACCACAGTTCTCACAAGCTCCTTTGCGATATCTAGTTGCTATAGCATGCTAAACAACAAAAAAAAGAGAAGGTTGTACAAACTTGTGGCAAGATTCATATATATGTTCCCAATAACTAATTCATTTTTTCAATACAACTAAAGTGTGCGTGGTCTACCCAAACCCCAAACACATATTTTGATTATTACCAAACATTGCGACTTGCCTGCTAATAAGAATTCCCAGCTCCTGTCCCTCTCAAAAACACCTTTATAGAGAGTCAGTGTTTCTTTTCTTATTACCTCATGAAATCAAACCACATCTTTATTTTATGACAAAAATATTTTGCATACCTCTTGAACTCCTCGTTTGTACCAATCTCCAGAGGAGCTATATTGTTTCTGCTTCTCTGGCTGAGGTCTCTGATGCTTTAGTGTAGGTCTTTTAGAGGGATCTATGTACCATGGTACTGAGGATATGTACTGAGGAATATGAGGATTGATATCTCTGTAAAAGATGTTGTGTAATAAATACACAGCATAGGGAAAAAACCCCACAACAACTTAGCCTAACAAATCTCTCTCACATTAAAGTTCAGTGCTTTAGGACTGATAATAAAATAACGAAGTTGTTACAATGCATTGCAAAATAAGCTCTAATTTAACTAGGTAAGCACAAACTTTCATTGAGATTTTGTTGCCATCTAATTCACCTAAAATCCTGACTCCAAATCAAATACTTTATTCTATGCAATGTTACTGAGCACAAAAATAGTAACATTTCTCTTCCCAGAAACAACGAGCCTTGCATAAGCAAGAGAGAGGGAACAGATAAGGTACACAGTAAAGTCCCCCAGTACTACGTTTTGGTCACTTTTAAAATACCACGTGTAAGTAGCCGCATAGATGGGACTTTTTAGCAGTACCGACAGTAGATAAACACTGAACCTACATGTTTTTTGAAAATATCTGTTTTCTGAGGATGACTGGAATATTAAAAGCAAATTCACAAAATTCAACTATTTAGTTCTACAATGACTCATGTAGAAATCATGTATCACCCCCATGATTATTCTGTAATCACAACAGGAAGAAAGCAATTTTTAACCAGTAGCTTTAGAATAGCCATAGCTTTAATAAAACTTACTTTCCTTCTTCATCCACTTCAGCAGGTGCATTTCCTAGTTTTCTTTGTTCTTCTAATTCCTTCTTTTTCCTCCAGTCTTCCCTTGTCATCTTCTTTGGTTCCTCCAGGCTCACGTCATTTGATCCTCCCGAAGAAGTGGCGTTCATTACCGTCCCTGATGCCATTTTGTTTTTTCCTCTGTAACAGAAAAAAAAAGGAAAAAAAAAGCCTTACAGATCAACACCATTGGACAGCACAGTTCTTCAACGTGGTTTTGTATCATCCAGTTAAACCAGTAACGCTGTATTATGCATTCTTAACATATGTCTTTTCACAAACACAAGTACCAGTGTTGAAAAAAAATTACCTAATTAACGTTTCTCTTGTCTAACTAATACGATACACGATGGGGACGAACAGCAGCAGCTCTGCACGCAGCCTCAGGACACGCACTATCGGGCCTTCCCCGCCCGCGCGGAAGGGGACACGGGCTCACCCACTGCGCGGGCGGCCAGGGCCCGCGG